TAAGTCACCGGGTCCGGGACGCGAACCGCGGTCGACTACGTGGGAGTCCAGCGACATAGCCATTACGCTAACTGCTGGTTCCCTATAATATAACTACTTTTAATAGCAAATTCAGCTGGTAATTTCAAGAAAAGCAGTTTTAACTTTAATAAATCAAAGAAATGCTAAAGAATTTTGTTCAAAACTTAAAGTCAGGAAACAGGTTAGGATACTGTTCAAATAGTAGGTACAGGAACCTATGGACAGCTCAAGATGGGACAAAAATCCTTAAAACCAGAAAACAAAGCCTACAAGAAAATCAGCAATGTTTTAGTCAAAAGTTATAAAATGCTATTTCACCAGTTCAGCCTCATGTACTTCATCTATCTTCTATGGTGGTCCAATCTTCCCAATATAATTCTGGAATATTACATTCAACTCCAGACTTGTCCCTATGATTAAATTGGCCATTTTCTTAATTTTTGAACTCTTATTTTTGTGTGTCTGTATTTAATTTTCCTGGTATAGCACTCCCTTGAGAATTTCTTGGAGATCTGTTCTTGTGTTGGTAAATTCTTTCAGGTTTTGTTTATCTGAGAATGTTCTTGTCTTTTCTTCTCATATGAAGAATAATCTTGCCAGGTACAGTATTCTTGGCTGAAATTGCTTTTTGCGTAACACTTTGAATGTATTTTCCCATTCTTTCCTCGCTTGCATTGTTTCCAATGAGAGGTCTGCTGTTAGCCTGAGGGAGATCCTTTGTAGGTAACTTGCCATTTTTCTCTTGCCCATTTTAGTATCTTGTCTTTGTCTGTGTCTTGTGAATCTGGCTGTAATGTGTCTTGGAGAAGATCTTCTTGGGTTGATTCTATTTGAGGTCCTTTGTATTTCTTGGGACTGGGTCTTTGAGTGCCTCTCTAGGTTTGGAAAGTTTTCTTGCAGGATTTCATGGAAGAGATTATCAACGCCCTTATAAGTCTCTTTGCCTTCTCGGATACCAATTATATGAATGTTTGGACTTTTGATGGTATTTACTACTTCTCGTATATTATTCTCATTTTGGGGGGCAATTTTCTTAGCGTTTGTGGCGGATTTTTCTAGGCCAGCATTTTCTCTTCTACATCTGAGATTCTATTTTCTGTATGATCTAGTCTGCTTTTAATACTTTCAAGGGAGATTTTGACTTCCTGTATTATAGCCTTCATCTCTAACAGGTCCATTTTGATTCTTATTTAAAGTGTGTAATTCCTCTTTTAGATCTAGCAAGAATTTCCTCACCTCCTGGAACTCGTCATCTCCTGTCTCCTTTCTCTTCTGCAGTTCATTGTCTGCCTTCTCTTCCATCTCTGTTAGCTTCGCCATTATGAATATTCTAAATTCTTTATCAGACATTTCCATGATTTCCATTGAACTGTCTGTGGATAAAGAAGAGTTATTCTTTTCTCTTGGAGGAGAGGTATTTTCTTGCTTTCCCATATTTCTTGTGACCCTGCAGTGATTTCTAGTCATCTGATGGATGGTGCATTTCTTCCTAATTCTTGAAGTTCAATCTGAGCACTCAGGAGTATGCAGAAGGAGGTGATCTGGAATCCCTTTGCTGTTCCGTTTTTATACCTTCGTGCAACAGATTCAGTGGATATTGAGGAATATGTTGACCCTAATAGTATCAGGATGTTTGGCTCTGTGTTCCCTGAGATCCATCAGTCGAGTTTGTGGGCTGGAGGCTGAATAATCAGTAGGATATCTTCATTTCTCTTTTTTCCCTGAAATCACTATTTCCCCGGAGGCGTGGAGGAGTCTTCTTCTTGATTTTTATACTCTTATGAGTGTAGATTTTAATTTTCTCATATGTTTGAAAGAAATATTTATTTAATTTTATTATCATTATTATTTAATTTGCTATAAGGCATGTGCATTTATCAGTAAGAGAGAGAGAGAGAAGGAAAGTGACAAAGCAAGATGCCAAGTCCAAGGCTCAAATTGCACCTGCCATGGGGGCATCCTGCACCTTAACCACCATGCCACCTGCTGGCCCAATTTTCTCGTATTTAAGAAATTCTCTTTTAAATTAGACTAAGTGGACATGGAGGGTTAGTGCCATAGCCTAGTGGTTAAGGGAGCAAGATAGCACATGGCTGACCATGGCTCTCATTCTGATCCAGTGGCTTGAGAGACACACCAGGCACATGTACATGGCCCAAATCCCAATAGGATGGAGGGACGAAGGAGAAGGGACTGTAGCATGGCCATGCCCCATGGAGGGGAGGTGTTTTCGCTCTCTCTCTCCCCCCCATCTCTCAGTCTCTCTGTGGTGAGGGCATATACCCTCTACCACTCAAAAAAAAAAAATGTAGACATGCTCATTTTAAACACTTTGGGAAAATCTTAATATATGAAAATGTCATCGACAATTATAAATAAACCACCATTGGCATTCTGGCACATATCAGCCAATATTATTTTCTATAATAATTATCAATGTATGTAGTTGTAACCTAACTGTACATGCAATTTTGCATTTTCGTTTTTATTTAATATATAGCATGATAGTCCATATTATAACATTGAGTCATTTTCTTTCTACTGAAAATTAGGTTGTCTGCATTTTCGTGATTACCATGAGCAATTTCGTATTCATTTTTATATTTAGCATAGATCTCAAAAAAGTAAAACAAAATGTTGTGGTGAAAGCGTATCTGCATTTCTTGGTATAATTTTTCCAAAAGAGCAGTGTCCTCTTATAAACTCAACCATGTATATGTGGTATTACAATGTTTTTAATTTGCTCATTTAATTCGAAGAACAAAAAAAAAAAAAGAAATTGTATCTCATTACCATAATTACAGTATATCATGATTAAGGTCCAATTGAAACTATTTTAGTTTTGTGTAGAAGTTCTCTTAATTTATCATTCTTTCTGAAAATGGTCTCGAGATTATGTAGATCAGGGTCCCCAACCTCTGCACCGTAGGCTGGTGCTGGTCCATGGTCTCCCCTTTCCCCACCCCAACCCCCACCCCGCAGCCCCAGCCCTACCTCCAGGCAGGAAGTGGGCAGTGAGAAAGCTAGCAAGGCTTCGTCTGTGTTTGCAGCTGCTCCCTGTCACTGTGGGTTCTCATGGGCACACGACCCCTAGTGCTGTGTGGTTATTTCATGGTGTATTGCAATGTGGCAGTGCTGGAAATGGGGTGCACAGTGGATGTGGGACACTTGGGTCATCCCAGGACCAGCCCTCCTCTGTACCTTCCATCCACGGAGGGATTGTCTTCTGCCAGGCTGGTCCCTGGTGCCGTGAAGGTTGGAGATCACTAAAATAGACAACAGAGATAAAAGTAAGCAGTCAAGCAAATAGACAAGAAGCCAATAAGACAAATAACCAGCCCACAAAGAGAACTCTGGGATCGAAAGGGCTGGGCGAATAGGACCTTTGGCTACCCTTGCCCTCACCGATAATCTGAATCTAAAAGGACCTGTTAGTTTTTTGTTTTGTTTTGTTTTGGGTTTTTTGTTTTGTTTTTTTTTTTTTTTTTTTTTTTAGGGGTTTTTGCTTTGGGGGCCACGCTCCCCGGAAAGACGCACACACACACACACACACACACACACACACACACACAGAGAGTGAGAGAGAGAGAGAGAGAAAGCAAGAAACCATCCCCCAGAGAGGAGGGACATGCCTTCTTCTCCATTCTCCTCCTGGGATCTTGGGCACGCACGTGCCTGTGTCATGAGTTTAAGCTGCCAAGTCCAGGACTCAAACAGCGGTCGACTACGTGGGAGTCCAGCAACATAACCATTACACCACCTGCTGGTCCCAAGGCCTGTTAGAGTTTTACTGGCTGAGTCAGTCAGGCCTTGGCCTTAGCCTACCTTGACCGCATAGTTGACCTTGACAAATGATGAAAGTGAGCAGAGAAACGTGTGGAACGATGAGGTGGAGCATGGATGTGGTAGCTATATGAAATATCAGCGCAGAATATCTCTGAGCGGCAAGGCTAACGTTTTGTGATTCCCTTGTGAGGATTTGGCGGTTCTAACCCCGGAAAAGAAAATGAAGCAGGGCTTCTCTTCTCCCTGCAGGCCGTGCTGGCTGGGATTATTCTGAGCAACGTCCTGCCCTACCTGGAGACCATTTACAACCTACCCAGTCTGTGGAGGCAGGACCAGTATGACTGGGTGAGTGTAGGTGCCCTGGCTGAAGAAGGCGAAGACGAAAAGAGAGCAAACCGAAGAGGTCAGCTGTGGACACGAACACCGGCAACTCTTCGATGCCTCATACTCTATTTGTGCTTTAAAAAAGAGGGTCAAGGGACCAGTGAGTGGCACGATGGTTAAGGTGCTAGATTCCCACAAGGCCGACCGCAGTGCAAGCCCTGGACCTGGTAGCTTGAAAATCATGCCAGGCACGTATGTGTGCGTGCCCAAAATCCCAAGAAGAGAGTGGAGGAGAAGGGATTGCAGTGTGGTCATCCCCCCTCCCAACTGATGGAGGTGATTTCTCACTTTCCCTCTCTCTGACTCTCTCTAAGGAGCACCAGTGCCCTATGGCGAAAACCTAAAAATAATAATACTAAGTAAAAGAGCATCAAGGCTGTTTTCCTATGAGAACATAAAGGCCTCATTCCAAATACAGAAACTTATACTAAAGAGATTAAGGCCCAACCTCGTAGTATATAGGTAATGCCACTACTTGAGAGGCTGGAAACCACATGGGACGTCTGGGAACCAAACCCAGGCCAACTGCAACGCACCAGGAGCAGTTGGGCCCACCTATAATCCCAGCTCATCGAGAGGTGGATCGTGACACAGTGAGACCTCGTCAATAAATATCTCCATCTCTCTGTCTTTCTCTCTCTCCCTCATAAGGAGGGAAAAAGGAATTCAGTGGCTACTGTTATGTGTAAATCTAGTAAAAAGGGTTTGTCATTTATTGCATATTTGAATGACTCTTTTTAAAAGTTATTTTATTTAATTTTATTTGTGTATTTATTTTCTAATTTGACCAGAGAAGGACAGAGTGAGTGAGAAAGAGAGAGAGAGAGAGAAAGTGAGAAAGCAAACTGCCAGGTCCAGGACTCGAACCGTGGTCTGCCATGTGGGAGTCCAGCGCCCTTAACCACCACACTACCTGCCGGCCCTGCATATCTGAATGACTCTTGATCTAGTAGTGATCTATGGGAAACACAAATTGTAGTAAGAGAAGGAAGTGTCTTGGCGGACAGAATAACAGCGAGGGCACTCTGCTTTCCAGAGGAGGACAGAGAAGGGAAAACAGCAAGCAATAAAAGATGGAGGATATGATGACAGGACTAGGACCCAGAAAGGCAGAGGAATACCAAGGGGGAGCATCGGGGGCCGAATCCCTGAGTAGCTAAAATGGGAAGCAGTCCAGCGCACAGATAAGAGTTCCTAGTCCAGGAGGAGGAATAGCACATCCCGTGAATAGGAGAGAACAAAGGGGAGGTGAGCGCAGATAGTGAGCTGCGGCAGGCGTCAGGGGGGAGAGATATTTAAGGGAGGTTCAGCTTATTTTTTCTGAAAAAGATGAAGGTAACACCACCTGCTGAAGGTGAGGAGAAGGCAGTGGGGTACGAGCTTGACAAGGCTGTTAAAGCAATGATTGTAGGTCTTAAAGTAGCAACTAGGATTTGGTGAGTGTTCTGGTTAGCTTTACAAATGGTACTTCTAGGGACCAGTAGTTAGCGTAACGGCTATGTCGCTGGACTCCCATGTAGTCGACCACGGTTCAAGTCCCAGACCTGGTGGCTTAAACTCACACTGGGCGCGTGTGCTTGCATGCCCAAGATCCCGAGAAGAGAATGGAGGAGAATGGATTGCAGCATGGCCATCCCCCCTGCGGGATGACTTCTTGCTTTCTGTCTCGGTCTCTGTCTCTCTCTGTCTTTCTGGTGAGCGCACACGCCCTATAGAAAAAACCTCTCAAAAAAAAAAAGGTACTTCTAATCTCAACACAACCTATAAAGTAGATATTATTATCTATTTTGCACATGAGGAAACTGAAGTTCCAAGGGACAGCTACAGAGAGATGACCAGGGACGCAGAAAAGAATTGCTAGGCAACCTTGACAATGCCAATCCGTATGGCCGTGGAACTCTCTCTAAATCTAGGATGGAGGAAAGGAGAGGTGAAGGTGAGTTGGGAAGGAGGTCAACTTCTCAGTCCCACCTGTTTTCATTCCGCCTTCCTTTCCCTTTCCTTCTCTTTCCCACAAGTGTCTTTGGATGGTGACGTTCTCCTCTGTGATCTTCCTGGGACTGGATGTCGGACTACTTGTTTCGTTAGTGTTTACGTTCTTGGTCATCACTGTCCGTTCACACAGGTGAGCCGCTCAGGTAACAGGAGGTCGGCCATAGCGAGGGAAGGCAACCAGGACCTAAAGGCACATGCGTTTCTTTCAGAACTAAGATTCTCCTCCTGGGTCAGATTCCCAACACCAACATTTATAGAAGCCTCAATGACTATCGGGAGGTAAGAATCCAAGTCAGTCCCATTCACTCCCTTGCCCAGGGGACAGGATAGACCAAGCCTGGTGCTTAGTTTTTCCACAAAATCCCTTTGCTGTTGTTCCCTGCTCCATAGGAAGAGGTGGGTTCTTTTTTTATTTATTTAAGTTTATTTCTTCTGTGAGTAAGAGAGAGGAAGACAGCACCCTCAATAGGATCTGAATGCCAAGATCTGCCCCTCAGATCAAGGGCACATGTGTGTGCCTGGCATACCCAGGGTGACCTCCAGATTTGAACCTAGAACCCTCTTATGTGGCCAGCCTTGGGTCAGCCTTGGGTCAGCCTTGGCGGAGCATTTGCCTTATCTCTGTGCCACTGAGGCAGCTACTTGAGTAGCTAAATCTTTACAGTACTGCAGCCAGTTAAGGATCACTTTAACATGGACTTTAAGGAGAGGATGGCTGTCCAGTAGGTGGCATGGTGGTTAAGGTGACGTACTCCCACATGGCTGACCACAGTTCGAGTCCAGGACCCAACAGTTTGAAAATCATGCTGGTAGGGCCAGCAGGTAGCATGGTGGTGAAGGCACTGGACTCCCACGTGGCCAACCGTGGTTTGAGTCCCAAAACCTGGTGGCTTGCTTTCCCACTTTCTCTCTTTCTCTGTGACCACACATGTCCTGTGGCAAATTTTAAAATAATAATGATAAATAAAATTAAATGACTAATTCTAAAAAAGAAAAAAAAAAGAGGGACCAGCAGATGGTGTAATGGTGTAATGGTTATGTCATGGGACTCGCATGGGTTGACCGCGGTTCGAGTCCCAGACGCAGCAGCTTAAAATTCAGACCAGGCATGTGTGAGTACGTGCCCAAAATCACAAGCGGAGAATAGAGAACGGATTGTGACACAGCCATCCCCCTAGGGGGTGGTTTCCCACTTTCCTTCTCTGTCTCTCTCTGAGATAAAAACAATAGACGAACAAACAAAGGAGAGGATGACTAAGGAAAAAAGAAGAGGGAGGAGAGGAGATGGAAGGGGGATAAAAGGCAGAAAAAGTGGAGCTAGTGGGGAAGAGAAATGGGAAAAAAGGGATTTTTTAATTCTTGCTTTCAATAAGGAAAAATGTAGATTCTCTAGGAGAGGCTAAGGATTTATTATTCTTTCTCCATAAGAAAACTGAGAGGCCCAGCCATGGCCACACAGGAGGCGTAGGTGGTGGGGTGTCACTGTCAATGCTGAAGCCATAGGGGAAGGCCTGGAGTTGGGTCCTGAGTCAACCTGAACACGCTGTGTGCACACGTAGGCACACATATGACCTGGCTGGCTGGGGGCCTGGGAGAGGGATCACAAGGCAAGACCCTATCAGAGGTCCCCATTTCTTTCTCTTTTTCCTTCTCTCTCTTTTTTTTTTTTAAGAGGTTTTGCCATAGGAAACGTGTGCTCACCAGAGAGAGAGAGACAGAGACAGAAAAGTGAGAAATCACTCTTCCCTGCCCCCCACAGGGGGATGGCCACTCAACCATCCCTTCTCCACCACCCTCCTCCTGGAAGCTTGGGCACACACGTGCACGCACACACACACACCCAGCGTGCTTCCAAGCCACCAGGTCCCGGACTCAAACTGTAGTCCCACATGTGGAAGTCCAGTGACGTAACCACTGTGCCTCCTCTTGGCTCTGGTTGCTGTTTCTTTCTAAATAAAAAAATAAACTTCAGGAAAAAAAAAAAAAAAAAAGAAGAAGAACTGAAAAACTCCTCTTAACCTCGCTTTTTGTCTTGCAGATTATGGACATTCCTGGGGTGAAAATCTTTCAGTGCTGTAACTCTATTACCTTTGTAAATGTTTACCACCTGAAACACAAGCTGCTAAAAGAGGTCTCTTCCCCACCTCTCTCCTCCTGTCCCACCGCCTCACAGCCATCCCTTTCTCACCCTTTGCCACTTTGCCCTCCACTCTCCCTGTGTATGAGACCCTTCTTTTCTCTTTCAGCTGAATCTGGTCAGGGTGCCTCTTAAAGAAGAAGAGATTTTCAGACTATTTCATAGCCAAAGCGATAGCAGCTACGAAGATGAAAGTATGTGGAGGTGCTACTGCAACTGTGATGAGATGGAGCCGCCACCCAGGGTTAGCCACGCCTCTTCTTTTCCTTAGTCTCTCCGTGTTTTTTAACGTGCACTAGTAGGTTATTGAAACAGAAATCACAACAACAACAATCAAAATCCCTTAAGGGTTTGACCATCCCATCAAGAATTGGAAATCAGGGGGACCAGCAGTTAGCCTAATGGCTATGTCGTGTGTTTGGGGAACAGCAGAACATTGTGGAAATGTTTGCAGGAATTCATTTTTTAGAAAAAAAAAAAGACAAAGGATTTTACTGCTGTTTTAAGCTACTTAAAAAATATAGTGATGGTAGGGCCAGCAGATGGTGTAGTGGTTACATTGCTGGACTCACACATGGCTGACTACGGTTTGAGTCCTGTACTCGGTGGCTTGAAAATTAGGTCAGGGCATGTGTGCCCAAGATCCCAGGAGGAGAATGGAGGAGAAGGGACTGTGGCATGGCCATCTCCTCTGGGGGGGGGGTGATTTCTCACTTTCCCTCTCACTGTCACTGTCTATCTCTCTGGTGAGCACACATATGCTAAAACAAAAACCTCTTAAAGATATGTATGTGTGTGTGCGTGTGCGTGTGTGTGTGTGTCTGGCCAAATTAAAATAAATGAATGAATAAATAGAATTAAATAAGTAATTTTTTTTTTAATTGGAAATCAAAGATTTCTACTCAGAAATAAAGATCCGGGATCTCTCTGGAGGTTCAGGTTCTGACATGAAAGTCGGCGGGAGATCTCCTGACTGCCGTAGGCTGGCCAGTGAGTACAGTGTGCCTGTTGAGACCATCTGTAATTCCTCAGCTGTGTCTTCTCAGTTGCCTAGCTTTAGACCTCTGAAAATAAATGACTTAAGGATCGTCTTCTGATTCCAGCGAGGCCGGGTCAAGGCGGCTATGGGTCACAGTGACTGGCCAAGGTCTCCTGACATCTGCCTGCAACCAGGGGAACAATGACTGAGGGCGGGGTTGGGAGGGGGCGGCTGCATGCGCTTGTCAGAGAGACAGATATGAGAGACAGAAAGAAGGAAAGTAAGGGGGCCGGCAGGTGGCGTGGTGATTAAGGGCTCTGGACTCCCACGTGGCCGACTGCAGTTCGAGTCCTAGGCCTGGCAGTTTGCTTTCTCACTTCCTCTCTTTCTGTCTGTCCCTCAAATTTAAATAAATAAATAAATAAGTTAAATAAAATAATTAAATAATTCTCAGAGAGAGATAGAAAGTGAGAAATGCCCCCTCCCCCCCCAGGGGATGGCCACGCCACAATCCCTTCTCCTCCATTCTCCTCTGGGGATCTTGGGCACGCACGCACACGCGCCCGGTGTGAGTTTTAAGCCACCGGGTCCAGGACGTGAACTGGACTACGTGGGAGTTCAGTGGCATCAGTGACATAGCCATTATGCTAACTGCTGGTCCCGGGCATGTGCACTTTTCAGAGAGAGAGAGACTGTGAGAGGGAAAGTGAGAAACCATCCACTGGAGGGATGGCCATGCCGTAGTCTCTTCTCCACCATTCTCCTGGGATTCTGGGCATGCACGCACACACAGCTGGCACAATTTTCAAGCCACCAGGTCCAGGACTTGAACTGGAGTCAGCCACATGGGAGTCCAGTGCCCTAACCACCACACTGGCCCCATACCTAGCATGATCTTTAAGCACTGGAGACTAATTAGGATTCAGGAGTAAGGAAAAGAATTAAGACGATTTTAAGTCCGCCTCACTAAGAGGATGACAAAGCCATGAATGGACACAGGAAGCTGGGAAGCACGGTCACCTGTGTGTTCGAGTCCTGGACTCAGCGACGTGAAAGACATGACGGACGCATGTGCACATGTGCTCGAGATCCGGAGAGAAGGATGGAGAGGGATTGCAGTGTGGCCATCCCCCTCCTGTGTGAGGGGGTGCTTTCTCACTTTCCTACTCTCCCTCTGTCCCCGAGGAGTGCATGTGGCCTATATCAAACAACGCAAACCTGTTCAGTACGGGGGGAGGACATTTCCTGGGACGGGGAGGTGACCTAGGGACAGCCACGGCATAGCGGCAAGTACTTGCAGCCCTCGTTCGCATCTTCGCACAGTCCTCCCTCCCTCTGTCGTCCCAGGTCACTTACACAGAGCGATTCGAAAATAAAGTGGATCCCGATGCATCCTCCATTAACCTGGTCCGCTGCTCACATTTCGAGAACAGGGACACAAGCCAAAGTTCCTCTGAGGACCAAATTCCATACGTTGCATCGTCCACGTCTCAGAGAAATCAAGAACAAAGCTACGAGGACGTGGAGAAGACTTTGTCCAAACCCTCAGGAAACAACTCGCTGCTGTCGCCCAACAGCAACGAAAGCCAGGAGAGGAGCAGATCGTACAACCCGTACTCGGATGGGTCTTTCCTGCCCAGCACCCACACCATCATTCTGGATTTCTCCATGGTGCATTACGTGGACTCGCGGGCGACCGTCGTACTCAGACAGGTGAGTACTGGGGAGGCTTTAGAAAAAGGTCGGAGCCCGTCCAGCACCCCATCCCGTCCTCATAGTCACCATCGGCTTTGTGATTGCTAGGCCCCAAAAACTTGGACTCTGAAGGTAGTTTAAAGTCAACTGAAATAAAAAGAAAACTGATCTATTCAACTGAGGTTGATTCAATAAGCTTGACATACTGTTATTCTCAAAGAATTAAAAAAAAGGAAACTCAACACCATTGGGAAAATGGCGCCAGGCCCAGTGACTCCCAGTACATCCTGGGAGTTAGGGGCAGGTCTTGTCAAGGTGTAGATTAGGATGCTACAGGGGAAGCTCTCCAAGAACTCTCCCCTGCTGAGCTGCTCTAGACAGACCCCGTAAAAGCCCTGAGCTGCATCATACTCACGTTGGAAGACGTTAGACGAAATGACGCCCAGAGCTTGGGGCTGCCTGTCCAGGGTCTCACCCGCTTCCTCTTCAGTGCCTGCATCTTCAGGCAAAAAAGACGGGGAGGCTTTTCCCTTCCAACACTGTGTCCCTAGGTCCTGACTTCTGTCCTGCTCTCGGGCTTTCCTGACAGTTCTCGTTTCTCTCCTTCCTATGCAGGGTGGGAGGTTTAGATGCACAACTACCCACGTGGGTTTCATTGTTTAACATCTCATAAGTCTCTTATTGTTTTCATCCAGTTGATCTCAGTTTACAGTATTCTTACTCTTCCTCTTGTTGGTGATGGCGAGGTTTAAACTTTCTGGCTCTGACCCAGATGTTTTTTAAAAAATTATTTATTTTATTTTATTTATTATTCTTGTTGTTGTTTTAATTTGCTATAGGACACATGTGCTCACCAGAGAGAGAGAGACAGAAAGTGAGAAAGCAAGTTGCCAGGTCCAGGACTTGAATCATGGCAAGCCAAGTGGAAGTCCAGCACCTTAACTGTTATGCCACCTGCTGGCCCCTGACCCAACTTTTTTTTGAGATATGCTCCTTTGGCTGGTTTGCCACTGTTTTCTCTATTTATTTTTTTAATTAAAAAATTTTTTTAATATTTTTGCTGTAGGGCGCTTGCACTCACCAGAGAGACAGAAAGCAATTAATCGCCTCCCCCTCGAGGGGATGGCCACACTGCAATCCCTTCTCTTTTCTCCTCTTGGGATTTTGGACACACATACATATACGCCCAGCTTGAGTTTCAAGTTGCCAGGTCCAGGAAAACTACAAACTACAGTCAGCCATGTAGGGGTCCAGCAACGTAACCGTTAACGCCATCTGCTGATCCCAACCTTATCTCTTTCTTTCATTTCAATTCTTAATTTTTTCTTTTATTTTGCTTTTTTGTTTGTTTGCTTGTTTGTTTTTGCTAAAGGGCATTTGCACTCACCAGAAAAAGAGAGAGAGAAAATGAGAAATCATCCCTGGAAGGACAGCCATGCTGCTGTCCCTGTCCCTCCAGTCTCTTCTTGAGATCTTAGACACACACGCATACACACCCAGGGTGATTTTCAAGCCACAAGGTCCAGGACTTGAACTGTGAAGGTGGCCATGTAGGATCCAGCACCTTAACCACTACACCACCTGCTGGTGTCTACTCTTTATAAAAAAGAAAAAAGTTTATTGATCGATTGAGAGAAACAAGCACCTTCAGCAGGGTCTCGCGCTGCGATCTTCCCCCCCAGCCTTTCCAGCCAGCCAGGATGATGGGCAAGTGCTTCTGGTGTACAAGTCACCGAGGAAGTGAGCCCTGGTCTTCCACACGGCGTCCAGTATTGCACTGCTCTAGCAGGCCCGGGCTACCTTGTCTCCCAGGGCACTTATGATAATTTCCTTAGGGTACATGGGCTTGCTGGAGAGAGAGATAGAGACAGTGAAAGGGAAAGTGAGAAATCACCCCTGCGGGGATGGCCACTACGCAATCCCTTCTCCTCCAGTTTCCTTTAGGGATCATGCACATGCACATGTGTGGCCGCCAGCATGAGTTTTAAGTCCCTGGGTCTAAGACTTGAACTGTAGTCAACTACATGGGAGTTCAGAGACGTACCCATTATGCCATCTGCTGGTCCCAGTTCTTACTTTAGATGTCATTCATCGCAGATGGTCGAATGTCTACTACATGCCAGACTACATTGTGCACATGTACGTACACCATCTCATTTAATTATCCCAAACGCAGGGCCAGCGGGTGTAATGGTTACAACGCTGGATTCCCACATGTCCGAGCACGGTTTGAGTTCCAGATTCGGTAACTCAAAAATCATGCCGGGCATGTGTGCATGCATGCCCAGGGTCCCAGGAGAATGGAGGAGAAGGGATTGCATCATGGTCATCTCCCCTGGGGGTGATTTCTCATTTCCTCTCTCTCTGACTCTCTCCCTCTCTCCAGGAAGCACAAGCACTCTAAGGCAAAATAAATAAATAAATAA